TTCTGCTTATGATTGTCATTACCTGCTCAACAAGTGAATATAAGCATCTTTCCTGCAACTGCACTCCACAATATAAGTTGTATTGTGCGTATAATTTACGTTTGGATTTCATAACTTAAGGTTAACTATTGTCAACTAATCAAGTGAAGATTTCTTCGTTATAACAAAACGATTGACATATCGTACAGATAATAAAGGAAATCAATTGCAAGCAATTCATTGTCGTTTCAATTCATGATTATCTGCGAATTCTAAGAAGGATATCTAAGAATTGCTGATAATTTAAATATGTAACACTAAAGGACTATGAGTGGGGGGAATAGGAAGATCTTTAAATATTATTTTAATTAGTGTCTCAAGCTTAAGTGATTTTTAGTTCGCCATTGAAAAAGTTCATATATTAGTCATTTTAATTAATTCGTTCAAAATTACATGATGGACGGATTGGATTTCTATTCTGAAGGAATATTGTGAAAAGTATGTAAAATGACCGATTATCGCAAAAAAAAAAGGAGATATTATTATTATTATTATTAATTTAGGTAGAGAATAAATTCTAGGACTAAAGTCTTCAAGCACTAGCATCAAAGGCTTTCGGCTTTCTTGAAAACTCTACCGCACTTGAGGTTTGAACCCACGACCATTGAGTTGTTAGTCGAGACTTTTGCCTACTCGGCCACCCAGGCGGATTAAAAAAACTAAATAAATCAAAAAATAAAAATAAAAAAAGAATAAAAAAAAAAGTAAACAAAAAAGGGGATAATTTCTTAACGTTGTCGAAGCTTAGACCAAACCATAAATTTAGATCATGACATGACCTCAAAAAAAAAAAAGAACCAACGCATTTCTATTTCAACATAAATAGAGAAAGTAAATCTTCTTCGTCATTCGTTCAACAGAACTTTCAAAAACCACACTTTGGTTTTCAGAATGAACTTCAAACAGTTATTAAAAGCATAAGTTTTTTTTTGGGAACGAATGTAAAATGAGTTTTTAGCTATTATCAATCCCTTTTCACTAACCCCAGTAAGACGAAAGCCTTATCCTTCAATTCGTCCTATGCTGGGTTGTTCAACTTTAATATAGATATATGTGGATGTTCCATTAATCTTGTAGATTCAATGCAATGTCTTGGGGTAATCTCTAATCGCAAGCTCAACTTTGGCCCCTCCAATGGCAACGTCTCTACTAAAATTTGTCTTAGGCTTCGAAAATTGTCCAATCTAAATCTATGTGTACCTCTAAAGGTTGCTTATCTACCTCTACAAAATCACTCGAACTCAATCCTCAAGCTTTACAATTGGAAATCCTTTAATATTAATACCGCGTTTATCTAACTCATCAGCCAAAAGATCTTTCACTGTTACTGATCTTGGAATGCCCTACCATTGAGTCTGAAATCCTTCGATAATTCTTTGAATACGTTTAGAAGGAAACTAACTGCACTGCTAAACTCTAATGCATATTTTGTTGTCAGTAGGAATTGTTAATTACGGAGCTTATGGCGCGAAATGATTACGTGAGCAACCATACTTGTACACTCACTTGTATTATAGTTTCTTTTTGCGCATGAAATATACTTATGTAACTAGGTAATAGGCTTACAAGTTTGTAGTTACTTATTAAATGAATAAAAAAATAAAAAATAGTTGTCAAATTAACTTGGAATGGTCATAAGCAGTAGCAAGTTATTATTGATTGAATTTCTGTTCATAAAATTTTCTTCATTCGTTACCGACGAAAGTTCCTTCGCGTAGAAATACCAATTCGCATATCTTTGATCAGCGTAAGATTCAGCTTCAAATTAGTCACGTCAATCCAACCGAGCTTAGCTTTCTGTAGAGCTAATATTTCACGTAGTAAGGCGGGGAACAAAAATTTATCCAAATTTTCCGAGTTTCGGTTCATAAATTGAAAAACAAGTATAATTTAAAAAGAGAAAACCACGCCCACTGGTGCTAAAACTCGGAATGCAAAAGGTAGATTATTAACACCTTAAGAAAATTTTGCATAGACGCACAAGTACACATATATATTTTAAGGTTCGTGTAAACATAGTTTTCGTCGGGTAACGCTCAACGCTCAAGCGATAAATAAGCGAATTATTTGTGAATTATTTATATACTCATGTTTAAAGCAAGACGGTGGGTGTGCAGAATTCGTTAGTTTCTTACTTTTCGTAAACATATTGAATTTCTGATATCGTCGAACGAGCACAAATTCATTTACAGTTGATTTAACAGTAACTGTGTTATTATTAGAATTTTTTATTTCTTTTTTATTTTATTTATTATTAATACGTTTTGAGGTAATCGTATTATACATGAACAAATTGCAATTTTATCTAACTCTACCCGACCGCAATTTTTTATTCACCTCATGGCGATTGTTGTTGGACATTTTACCTCAGGGAAGTTAATTAATTATGTTTACCTTAAGCATCAAATTTTTTCATTCACTAAAGCGAGATTAATTTATTATTAAATTGGGGGGGAAACTTTTATTGTCTTCTACTACCTGCTGATTGCTTTATCCGTTAGGTCAAGGCGAACAGGTAGATTCCGTCATATGGGGTCTAACTATGTAAGATACCTCCCGTAGGATATACGGGACATTGGATAAAGTCTATGTAAAGCATTGCATTTCGTATGAATTCCAGAAAGCAACTCACGGATTGCTTGTATATGCGCGTTGAGATGTGAAGCAATTGCAAAAAAACTATTCGGACATTCGAACACATCAAGCATCTTGAATTTGTCTTCAAGCAGAGGGTTTGTGTTCCGCGCAAATTGAGTGAAAAAAATTTATCGGATTACTTGAGAATATGTTCATGTCATCTTCTTAAGTACAATGTGAAACCGTTTGCGGGAAATAAAAAGCTGATTCTTTACGAGAGTACACAGAGAAAAAAGTTTTACTATGATCCTACAACATCCGCTACAAATATTGCTAAACTAGATTTTGATCGAAGAAAGATGATGCACTCTTGTGTGGTAGGATACAGGAAGAGGTCCCCGAGCTACTTAGACAGGGGCAAACCATCAATCCGAGCATCTATTATATCAATCTTGTCAATTGAATGCTATCATTAATGAAAAGCGATTTTTATTAGCGAACAGAACAGGAAATCTGTTCTATAAAGATAATATATGAGTAATATTTATGCAAACGGGGACTTCTTGTGACGTGTAAGATGTCATTTCGTATTTCTTTTTTTTTGTTTTTCAAAGATCCCATAACTAGTATCTTGCGTAAGCTATCGATAAGAATTGAAAATTATTGAAAGTTTCCGATCATTCCCTACATTTATTGAACTGTCATTTATCGCGTGCGTGCTTTAAATATTAATTTGCACAAATTGATTTTAGAATCTTAGTCTAATTGCTCTCTTACGCTTTGGAAATTAAGCTAAAATAGTTCACAAAAAAATACAGTTTATGAAAGGATGTCCCACTTGAGTGACCGTCTCTACAAGTGAACGTATAAAAGTTGCAAAGCTTTTTTCCAACTGGGACGGTATTCGATTTTCTCTTTGAGATTACTTTGAAAATTATCCAAGAGATGCCGTTTTGTTCCACCTCTTGGAGCGTCTTATGTCGGAAAAGAATTTAAGTATTGGAGAGCGGAAAAAGGGCGTTTCTGTGCCCGCGACATAAAGGTGAAAACATCACCAGCGACGAGAACGACAACTGCATTGTTCCATTGCGCAGTGGAAGAGCGGCCAGTCGCACTATTTGCCGTAAACCTTCAGAACTACTCTATAATTACGGTATCAAACTTTATTTTTGCTTGCTAGGAACTGCCCTTTGCGTTTTTAGACAGTGTTTTGGTGAATTTCAAACATGGTTCCTGTCAATTAGCTAATAGCAACCTGCCCAAATTTTAGTGTATTTTATACAAATTTTAGCGGCCGAAAAAGTTGCAGGAATAAAAAATTGAATAAGCCAACGTTCGCTCATTAAATAAATTTAGATCTTCACTTTTGTCTGTCAATTAATTGAAGTGCTTCGTTTATTATTAAACATAACATGCAATAATAGAATAAACAAAAAATTCTGCGCTATAAGAGAAGAAATTTTAGGTGGTTAGACTCGCTGACTTCTTCCCAGACCATTTCATTATTAAGGACTTAGTTACTAAACTCGCAGAACTAAATCTGTTCGGATTAAATTGAATACATACTCGCTTTCTTTGTCGCGCCCAAACAGATAGTAAGTAGTCAGTGTTAATCAAGAGGAATAATGTCTGATGTGTTAACTTTGGCGAAGGTACCAGTAAGTAATCAGTGTTAATCAGAAGGAGTAATGACTGATGTTAACATTTGCGAAGGTACCAGTAAGTAAGCAGTGTTAATCAGAAGGGGAAATGTTTGATGTTAGCATTGAAGAAGGCACCCAAACTCATAATTCTGAGCGTTACATACGAAACGGCAAAGTCCTTAAAAATGACTTTGCCAACGTCCACAGACGACATATATACGATATTATAAATTTTAAGAATGAACGAATGAAAAATCTTTCTTTTAAAGACATATCGTCACTTGGAGTGCACAAAATAATTTCAATATTAAAATAAAAACAACAAGAGAATATAATATAATAATTATCAAAGCGATTTTAAATTATTTTAATCGGTGATAGAAATTAGTATGAATTTCTTATCGCCCGATGATATATTTAGTGGAGTCAGACGTAAAAGTCTGTGTAATGGCACGCTCTTGTCACTCTCTGGCAAGCATAATGCAGAGAGTGGATCGAGTACGCCAAGTAAAAACAAAAAAGAAAGGCGACGGGGCAGTTTTAACGAAGCGAACGTTAGTCCCGGCGCTACAAGCAATAATACGGGCCGCAGATCTTCTTTAGTTTCCAGGTAAATCATTTATTTTAGAAACAATTGAATCTTAAGAGAAAAAAGCAAACGAGAAATAAATCTTTAAAATAATTGAAAAAAAAAAAATCAATGAATCATTTATATAACAATATCTTTGGTGTTGCTTTTAGATGGTTTAAGCACATTTCTGATGCTGCGGAGCAATACAAACCTCGTACAAAAAATGCTAACCATGAACCGATCGATGATCCGGCCATTGCTACTTTACCGCATTCTAATACTCGGGAGTCTTTGGAGATCACACCAGAACGCCCTCCTCCCCAATCGGCTACCGCGACTGTAATAACCACTCCATTAGCGCCTATGATCCCAATGTCGCCGAATGCAGGGGGCTACGATAAAACACATACCGCGCAAGCTGTAGAGTCAAATTGCAGCGGCAACAACAACAACGGTGTTGAAGTACAATTACGTAATGGACGGCGAGAGAACGGTCAAACACTACCGGCAGTAGAGTCATGTCCGCCGTATTACAATATAAAGCAAAGATTAAGTCAAAATGAATTGGCTCAAAATGCGGGCGCAGTCAATCGTACGATGTCAACTAGGAGTTGCGGAGAAGCCAATAACAATTATAATAGCATGAACGAATTTGCTGCCGCCAATGGTGTCACTTTACGTCACACCCAATCGGCTAGGCAAGCAAACAATGCAACGCTTGCGCCCGATGATGCGACCAATGCAGCGAATCTGAATGATGGTAACAAAAGAGACAGTACTAGTATAGTGTATTCGAATAATTCCAACAACACCCGCACGCTTATGCAATCATCACCACCTTTAGTGGAGCCTACAGCTATCCAAATTAGCATAAGTCCCGCGCATACCGCCGAACCTGTTTTAACATTGGTGGAGAAACTGAGACGTCTAGACGCGAGTATACGAGAAGGCCTAATGGAGAAGCAAAAAATAATTTGTGATATGTTCCGATTACCGATCGAGCACTTCCATGAGATTGTGGACATAGCCGCTATGCCTGAAGCACCCAAAGACAGTGCAGATATAGCTTTGGCCGCTTATGCTCAAGTTCAAAGCTTGACCGAAGTGATTAATGAATACATGCAGATAACGCCTGAACAAGAAATTTCCGCAGTATCAACCACTGTTTGTGACAAATGCCACGAAAAACAACAGCATCTTTCCCGAGAGAAAAACAATTTTGTAAAATCAGATTCCCCGCCTCCATTGCCTCCTCCAAAGAAACAAACAGCTCAAGCTCAGCAGCAAGTACCAACTCCAACCGTCCCTAAATTACAAATGCTTGGTTTGGGTGACAGCGACATACACGAAGATGATGATGGCTACTGCGAGATCGACGAGCTACGTTTACCGGCTTTACCGCACCTTATGAAGACCATTTCCCCACCCCTGTCGACAGCAAAAATGACAGTAACACCATCTTTTCCACCTTCATTGTCTAAGAGCACAAATCAACTTCAAAGCCCTGCAGTGGTTGCTGAGTCCCAGGCTTCTAATACGACCGTAGTAATGCAAAATAACAGTACCCCAGAATTAATGAAACGTCAGAGCACTTTAAGTTCCGACAGCATTCCTGAGGAATCTCCCGATGAAGTCACAAATGCACTTAATGATCAGCACGCAGACGAGATGCACAAATTAAATGAATCCAAAGACGTCACGTTGACCGAAAACGTAGAGCAGCAAGACCAGGACACAACAAACGCTACTGCGAACAATCACAGTACCGTGAATAGCAAGCAATTTGAAACGAAGAATACCGAGGAGCACGAAACTTTAAAACGAGAAGATTTCGAATCGTCGGAAACTGCAACGAACGATATTGGTGAAAAGTCTGAAGCGGAAGCCGAGGATAAAGAGGTTGCAGCAAATGAAGAGGACGAAAAAAAAGAAAGCGAAGACGATTCGGAAGATAAAGATGACGATTCCACTATGCATACGGCAGAATGCGAAAGCGAATCTTTGGAAATAAAAGAATCTGCTACTGGCAATGAGAGTACAGAACATTTGAAACACTCGATAACTACCGCAACGTCTGTGGCGACTGAACCTAAAAAGCAAGCTAGTAATTCTACTCAAGCCGACGACTCTTCACTAGGCAGTGAGAACGCCGAAATGAACGAAGTTTACGAGACTTTCGTAAGTCCATTGATTTGCTTGTTTATTCCTTAAATTTGCATGACATTCTATATTAATTTCATTAGTTTTGTTGAATGAAGCAAAACTTTAAGTGAGATGCGTGCCTCGAGATTCTTACTTTTCTATTAAATCTCATTCTTCGTCTTTTTCCATTTTATCCTTTAGTCTTCTTTAAAGAAACATGAAAACGCTGTTCTCTTAATGGTCGATAATTCAACTCAGACTCTTTCGCCTTCATCGCAACACTTGTCCACCACCATTAGTCCCACAACTACTGCTGCCACAAATACCCAGGGAAAGAGCACCTCAACCGTTGCCACAAACACCAATATCATAACGAATACAATTGCAGCCTCACTTTGTGGACCAAATCGCTTACAACATGCTCATACGTTAGAGCCCAGCGTGCCCTGTCATGCTCTCAACAATATTGTTAGTGCGCTAAATGCTCAAATTTCGTTGTTGTTGGTAAGTTGCATCAATTTTTATCAGCTAACATGTTTTACTCATCTATTAAACTTGCAGCCCAAAATAAATGAAAGAGATATGGAACGTGATCGTTTGCGTAAAGAAAATCTGCACTTACGTGAACTATTAAATGCGATGCATGAACGTCAGCGAGTTGAACCAAAATTGGTAAGTAGCGAACAAACTAATTGTTAAGTTAGAAATTAAGAATACAATCTAGAAATATTTGAGCCTTGAGACTACACATGGACTGATGAAATCGCGGAAATTTCGGAATGCGTGTCACGACCAAAAGATTTGAAATAGAGAAAAAGTAGAATATGTTGTGGAAAATAGATCACATCCTTTACTAAACAGTATTAAGTCATTTGAAGCTGGTTCCAGAAAAAAACCTGTAAAATTTTCGTGCCGCATCTGACTACGAAAAAAAAGTCGACGTCAAACGACTTTTGTTAATCATCTATAAAACGTTGTAAGGTTAAACCATATCTGAACCCTTTAAGAATGAATGATCGGAAGCCCTTAACACACGCGCGTCGTCGTAAAAATAGGGAAAAGGCGCGAATTTTGCAGAAGCCGGGAATATATTCTTAATATTGATTTTTAAAAGTCCGATATATGTTGGACGATTCTTCAGTAATCCATAGATCCATTAATTGATTTTCTATAAACGATTTTTTTACTTCATTTCTTAGGAAACTCCTAGTGAAAGCATGACCAGCAATGCTTGTAAAACCGATGACCAAATTGATGGCTCTTCATCCGCACCGTCTGTTACGTGCAAAGCCATGCCCACAATTGCACTTACCGTTCCAACAGATACACAACAATTAGTTGCAGCCCCTGCAACTGAGGGAAGCGAGGGAGGTGCAGAAGTCAGCAAAACGGAAGTAGAAACCGTCAAGTTAACAGCAACGTCAACTACTACGAAGCCGCAAGAGGCGAAAAATTGAATTGCTAAAATCTGAATAACATCCTTCCACACGCATACACATATACACAAGCAGACAAATGTTATAAATGCGGCAGAAAAGAAAAAAGAAAAAGGTTTTAATTTGTATTAAAAGTAGAATTGATGATGACGCGCAGATATCTTGATAGACGTATTAAGTTAAAAGTCAATTTAATTGACTCTTCATCTTTCAGATAGAAAGTCAGGCTTTAAAGGGTATTTAGAGATTCAGGTACTGTTAATATTTTTAATTAAATAATTAATTTTTTGTAAGAAATTATATTCTTTCCTCTAATTGTGTTTTTTCCTTTTTTTTTTTTTTGTTTTATTTTACTCTTTTTTTTTTTTATAAAATATTAAAATTTATTTTATTTTTTTTCTAGAATTCTAAGTGTAAAAAATATTGATGCTTAAAAACACATACTACTGTAAATGCAGAATATAAAGAAAAACTATGCACAAAAACAAAAAACATATCGCAAAAGATTTTTGTCAGCTTTTCTTTGGATGATAGGTGGGTTGTACAGGTAGGGCCTAAGAACTCGAACAAACACAAGTATATAAAATTATTTACTTACCTACTAATTCGTATGATTATTTTTAATCACTTTTTCTGGATTTCATTATATCCCTCAGCAAAGAATGTATTAATCTTGCCATTTATGCAACAAAGACACGCTTGAGGTAGTCTAAACACAGACAGAATGGGAAAGGAAATGTGCACATGTAAGTTTTCAAAAAAGGAGCAAATCGTTTGCAAGTCGTGTTAGGTCAACAAAAAGGATTACTACACTCATTGAAGGAACACCTTTGGACAGCGTAACAAATACAAACCTACTGCGTCCTTTGCATATTTGCGTACTTGAATTCGCAAGCAATATATTTCTTCGCAAGATTGGAAATGAAATATTTTCGAAGAACGGCTTCATTCCATTATTACATTTGACAGTGATTTCTGTTATATGATTTGTAATGTCGCAGTAACCAGCAGTAACAGAGTTAACCAGATGCAAAATTGTTGCCAGTCTTTTTTCATATCCGTTTTCAGAAGAAATGCTATATTCGCACAGTACGAAAAACTAAAGAGATATGGTCATCGAAATTGCCAGTTAAAGGAAACGTCGATAAGTACATCAAATCGAAAATTTTTCTTCCTTTACGACTTCTTTTGAACTGAGCTTATTAGGCTTCTCAACCAAAACGTGGACTTCGCCTTAGCTTTGACTTTTTTTCACTTCTTAGACTTCTCATATCCTCCATCATTTCAAGCTATGCCATTTATTGTTTATGAGCAGAGTTGAATTAGAACAGGGCTTGCTGTTAATGGCCCATCATTTTTAGTAAACTTTATATTATTAGCTAAGCAAATATTCCATAAATAGAACCTAGATATTGACTTTTGTCCTATAGAGCCCGAGTATTGAGCTTCAGCATTTTGAAAATTCCTTCGAGAAGGCTGCATCCAAACAACAATCCAACCAAGTCGGAAAAGAAGTACGATTTATGGAGAATATCTCCTTAAAACCTTAAAACAAAGTAAATTAAAGAGTCTTCATGGTTGGTATGACTTTGTCTTCAATCTCACAGACGATGGGGAGCGGTCATCGTGTTCACGCCTAGTAGGCAGCAACGCCTTGCCAACCGAAACGTGCCCAAAAGTTTCCGGAATTTTGCAAAAGCCTTCAACCGTGCGTTGCCCTAATACCCCGAAGGGAAAAAATAACTGCAAGGAACACGCAGACATGTTTAAATTTTTTTTTGTTTTGTTGAATCTTCGGCTCTTTCACTTAAAATGAATGAAGCGTCTTTCCTCTCGCTTCCTCTTGATCTTCAATTTTGTTCATTTCCTTTGTTTTTATTATGATTCGAAATGAATTTAAAAATAAAAATTCACCGGGAGGGCTCGTTAAAAACAAATCCAAAACGCATAAGCAAACGGCAAACATCTGCTCAATGATTGTTTAAAATTCTTTTTGCATTTAATATTTTTTCCTGGTTCATCTTCTTCTTCTTCTTCTTTACATTTGTAATAAACATGATAAATAAACATGATCAGAGATGAGAAATTAGGTGGGACGCAAGAAGCAGCAAAAAAAAGAATTTTCTTTGCCCACGTTTTTACATTTATGTGTTAGGCATTTGATGATACACAAATACACAAATAAACGAAACAAAACAAACAAAAATCCAAATAATTTATTAATTTTATTTACAAATGAATGTTACACAAATGTTTTTTTTTTTTTTTTTTCAACAATATAAGAGATTTTATTTAAATTAAAAATTATATCTGCTTCTATATTAATTATGAAGAGAAGAAAGAACAGAAAAAAGAAAGCGTGAATTTTCTCATTTTAATATATCGACAAAGAAACAGTCAACAGAGAAAGCTTATGAAGATCATTATTTGCCCGATTGTTCCGCTTCCGCTCAGAGAGTTAATCGAATTTCTCAAAACTGAAGCGAGGCACAAGACTTAATTGCCCGTTATAGAACAGGCAAGCTTAAATCGCGTGAAAAAGTGATTATGAATCGATTGATATAATGGAAGGTGGATCTATCCCTAGTCCCTTTCGGGCCCATATTTCAGGTCTCTTTACCGCAGCAGTATGTAGCACAGCAACAACAAAAACTTAATAAGTTGTTTTCTCTTTTTGCAACGTCATGTTCCAAGCTAAGGTGTGAGCCGCTGTAAATGGAAAAGGCTTAAGCCCATCTTTTATACTTTACACTACTTACTTATTTACTCTACAAGGTCTGTTAAGTTTGTGTGGCCCTATATAAGGACGAGAGTTTTCGATTATATTAAACGAGTCATAATCATTTCCTGATTCAATTCAAGTTACTCCGGCCGTTCGTTCATATACCGCCTGTTCATGGATTTTAGGATTCAACGTGCAGATCACAACGTTCGCCATAGTTTCATCAAAGGCGGTACAGCAATGATGTTCGGGGGCCGACGACAAACGGTATTGAAAATGGATTGAATCGTGTCATTTTTACTATCCCCCATAGAACGAATTATTTTGATATGTTGTTATATGAAAACACCGACGCTGACTAATATTATCTGACCAGCATCATACCATATATGAGCTCTCATGAAAAATATATCTTTATTGGCAGACGGGTCCACATTCAAACGAATATTTGCAATGAAAAGTGCTTCATAATAGTAATTTGACATAAAAACAAACTACAAGAAATTTGGATCACGTAAGTCCACTTTTCCCTCCCATATAAAGGCTCTCCATAGGACTAGGACATAGGACTTTATGATAATAATAGGTGAAAAATAATAAGTTTATTTTGAAAATAATGTTGACAAAGGCATGTCTAAATTTCCTCTTCTCGACCATTTCCCATCGAATGAAAAATGCATCCTTAAATGGGAATAAGGTAAGCAAAATGGAGAGAGATCAACCGTGCCGACTACGTGCTTATTTTCACATACAGAGCAGGTTTTTTTTGCCAGATTAATTAAAGGGATCATAAAAATTTTGAGAAATGAAATAATTCATTATATTAGGAGTCTCTACAGATTACGGTAGACAGTCACATATAGCATCATTTGCGAAAGCATTATCTTTACCTTTTATTTTGGGGGAGAGCGCTGCTCAATCGTGACGAGTAATGATAAAAATTTTCTGATTATCCATCAAAAACTAAAATATGGATCAATGGAACATGTTACTACTTTACATTCAGCGGCGGTTTTTCAGCAATGCAGCTAAATATTGCAAGATACATGAAGTGAATGCCAACAACATCGAATTAGAAGATATGTCGACGACTGCATTCACCAATCGTTACTCGTTTTGATTAGCAATCGTTCCAATCGATGCCTTATGGCCTATGTCTCTTACATGCAAAATATGTAATGCATCAAAAGATAACTTATTCTTATGTTACCATAAAAACAATATTAGGTGTTTGCAAGAACTTTGATCATCGACTTTTACAGGTAAAAAGTAAAGAAGTGCGAAACGATTGAATTTGATGGTTTTGACATTTTTTTTACATAAAATAACAGTTATTCCGTTTAAAATTATTGATTTATCCGGTGTAAGCCGACGCTAATCATGGAGCGCTTCAAATTCTTCTTCTTCCAAATTCATTACTTTTCTTGTTTATTTGAAGAAATTGTGCTGCTGTAAGACCTCCAAATTCTTTTACAAGCTTATGGGGATGCTGCTCCATCACATCTCAATAGTCGATTTTAGGTTCAAGGGTTTAAAAGTGGCGACACGGATTGACTGAAAATGCCATTTCTTGGCCACTTTGTCACTTGCCACTTGGTAAGAGTTGTCCAGGACACACTGTTGCAGTTCGAACACGAGATTCTGCCACATCCAGCGTGCTCACCAGGCGCCTCCTGATCACCACTTGTTCAGACCGGTGCAGCATAGTTCGGCTGGCACGCGGGTCTGCAAAATTGAAGAAATGCCAAAATGGGTCCGTGAATGGGTCGCTGCCAAACCTATGCCAGTTCTTTCGACACGATATTGTCGTATTGCCTAATATATTGTAAAATGTTGTAGTAAACGATCGAAACCATTTTGATTAATATATATATTGTACTAACTTTCCGCAATAAATGTCTTTCGCAAATAGAAAAGTGAGCAAACATTTTGCAAGCGCCTAATATATAATGACCATTGTTAGACATTGTTTGGTATTTTTGTTTAATAGATTTCAATTATGTCATCAATTTGTATTTCATTTGTTTATTCACTTGGCGTCCTTTCTCTTCTACTCAAGTTTTGCATACTACAAGGAGTGTCGGTATACTACAAGGAAGTTCGGTTTAAGATTATTCAATAATTTCTTAAGGATCTCACCGAAGAAAATCTTTAATTGTAATGCTAAAGCAACGAACAAATTGACGCAAAGATAATTTGAGGAATTTAAAGTTTCGCATTAAGCCTGCGGTGCGTGCCCCCTATTGGCAAAGAAATAAAAAAGTAGGTAGGAACGAGCTTTTAAAGCAGTTGAAAAAATGCAAAGCAGAGAGAGAGAGTCTATAGCAGAAAGAAATATGATGTTTGAAGAGTAGTTTACGTAATACAATAAATTCGAAACCAGAAGTATTAAGAATTTTCTTCGCTTATCGCAATGTAATGCATTTTGAAAGCAAGCAAGTCGTGTTTTGAGTAACAAATATTATAAGAGTGTTATGCACTTTTTGCTTGAAATTGAACGTTAGGACTATGAGTAAAAAAAGACTGCTTTTGCATCACGTCAATCCATTTTCGTACACTTCATTCGAGAAACCAAAGCGTACCTTTCTGCAAGATCCTGATTTGATCGTGATTACTCTCGCAAGTTAAAAATTCGCTTCACAGACATCGACTTTATTCGGATACTGATTCGAAAAATGTGAAATAAAAACGAATAAACATTAGGTGGCATATCTCATTAATGAGGGCAGTCATATCAAGTTTAATAATGATGTTAGTTAAGTTGCTTAACAATTTTACAAAAGAAAAAACTACTCGTGTGAATCGGATTAGGTGATTTAAATAGGAGGATCTTAGCACATTCTACATTTAAAAAAGGAAAACAAACCTATTCAGAAGGTTTGCTCAGAAGAATAGCTAATAAACAGTTAGACGAAACAAATCTGACAACTCAAATGTGAATCACGAAACTAGCAGCTGGCATAGTAAATAAGAAGCACGATCGTTAATCCTCTGGTTCGATACCTATACGCGTTAAACTGTACCTTCTGATGCAAGAGTGCTGAAAATTGATTATCTAAATAAATCAATTTTTTTTTTCCAAAAATATGATAAAAGTACGCAGAGAGTGAAGGTGGCTCAACTCTGAGTGAATATGAATGAAAGCCGAAGTTTTTTAAAAAAAAAAAAAAAAAAAAAAACGAACTATGCCAGGCTATCATCAAGAGGCAGCCACTATGGAGCCCTAATGGATCTGCCAAGCAAGCCTGCTGCCGGCTTTGAGGAGAATTAAATCCCATCATAAATGTGATACCTTCGAAGAAGGAAGAAGGAGGAAGATCATATGAAAAATCTTCAAATTCTCTGAACCGCAACGAATTTGCATCTGCCACTGGAAAATTGAATAAAAATATGCGTAAAATGTTTAAAAATATTGTAAACATTTATTATGATCTCTAGTGATATAACATTTAATTAAATAAAAATTATAATTTTGTATAGTTTGGGATAAATTGGATAAACTTTTTAATGTATATTGAATGTGATTAATAATATTTTATAAATTACACAATAAATTACTATAAGTAAAATAGTAAATAACTTTTTATATGCACATCTATTATAATCTTATCTAGGCATCTAAGGTTTTTTTCCTCCTTTTTTTCACGCTGTACTAGGCGGCATTCATGTTCATGAAGAAACGAAGGAAAATATTTTACATAATTTTTTGTTTTTACACCCACCACCCAATTAAAAGAATACATTAACTTTGTCAGTCTTTTCCGAAAATCCACAAATAGGAAAAATTGTAAATCGATTTAATCAGAATCGGTACTGGTTAGTCTGTGTGATTAGAACTTTCCAAAAAGCATATTTGTAATAAATTTTTAGCTTAATCCTAGAAATCGAGCGTGTTGATCAGCAGCCAATAGGTATAAAAAAAAAAAATTTCCAAAATATTGCTTAAGAACACATAACCGAAGGCGATGGAAATATTTAGCAAAGCCTTCTAAAAACCGCTTTCAAGAAAGCACCACACACAGATTTGTATATTTATTTGAGGTAATGGGTATCCAAAATTCGCTTTACGGAGCGAATATATTTTTCTTATATATTTATTTATTATTAATAATAATATATAATTTGTTTACTTAATCGCAACATGAAACGTTTGTCTCAATACATTTTGTTTTGCATTTAAGAAAAAAGCAGAAAATATTTTGGGCAAGTTTACGTTCGCATTACAATAAAATATTCGTAATTCATTAAAAAGGAAAAAATGATTTCTGGAAATTATTGCAATAAAAAGTAAAGAAGCACTTTAGTTGTACGCCGTTCTACGCTTAATTTTTAATTTTTCATTTTCTTTTGTATTTTTTTTTTTTTTTTTTTTTGATATATTTTTTCTAAGTTGCTGTTGTATTTTCTTTCTTATTTGTTCTTTTGTTACTTAGTCTTTTACTATTTACACCCATCGCCTAATAACATTACCTTTTCACATCCGAGGTTATTTCTAGTCGTCCTAGGCCCAGTCATGACTCTTTATAAGCGCGTAAAACCGTTTCTACCCCGTTTAATCCTTCTTGGGTCCTGCAGACGTCCGATAGCCAAGTTTCGAGTTTATGGCAGAGTGTGTCTCTTCCAAGACAGTCTACGGTCATTTTAAGTGGACTGAATTAAGGAAGAAACTCCTAATAGGTACGTAGTACGGAAATACGAGGAAAAACCTTGAACATTTTAAAAGCTTTTCAGATTCTAGGGCATAACTTAGCAGTGCAAATTGTAGGATTTGCCTTAAAAATGCCCCATACCCCCGGCGCATACACATTCGAAACGATTGATTTACATATGCTTAGGTGATGGGTATCAAATAGTCGCTTACTGGCGAACAAATCTTTCCTACTTCGTTTCTTTGGCTTAGATATTAGAAATTATAAACAAAAGCGAATATTTTTTTCACATAGTTGAAGAGTGAACAAAAAAAAGCATTTAAACAAAAAATATTGATATCTTTAAAAATAATTATTTTGACTTTCAAATAATAATAAATAGCACCAATTAACCAAAAAAGAAGACAAACATACCTTCCTGCGGTCCAGCAGATGCTTACGTACATATATTTGTGTTGCAATTTTTTAAATACGTTTCCCATTATCTTGCACTAAAAGCTTGCTTGCATTTTATAGAAATTCATTGGACCTTTAGAAGCAAGAGGATAAGGCGAGAGTGTTAATACATGAGGTTTAATGGTTTTCTCATAGGATTGCATATATCTTACAAAACCAGAAAATCAGTTGAATGCTACGATCAAACGTAGTTCGTTGAATTTAAAGCAAGTCGTACGACGCCTGCTGAGCATCAGCAAATATCGACACAGATCGCTAACGAGTCGATCGTGAGGGTTAAGGATTCTTAAGCATCACTATTTTTGATACGCATTCCCTATATGATGGACATTAAGCCGTCCAAAAGTCGTAGGCACTTCGCATCTTACACTTCAGAGATTATACTGATATTGACATTTCAAAGAATAATTTTTTTTAAATTTTTATACTCATCACTAAACGAGGGGGTGTACATTCGTTTTGGCATAATGATTCCAACACCCAAAAGGAAGCTTCAGAAACCCTATAAAAAATATATATTCTTGACCAGAACGAAATTCTAAATTGATTTAAGCTCACCGGATCTGTTTAGCAAAATGAACTATCTGTTGTTGATTCCCTCAATAGTTAGAAGAAGAACGCGAACATATTTGATTACGTTACTCCACATGAAGGGATGACAGGGAGGAGGGATGATTTTATTCTAAAGGATTCCTGAAAGCTAGCCATGAACAGCTGCATTTTTAAAGTATTTTAAATGCGAATTTTATAAAATTGCGGTAAAATGCTTTTTGCTTTTTTCGTTCTATTGGGACAAAGTAATTCTTTTATTATATTAAAAAAAAAAAAAAAAAAAAAAGAAAGAAAAAATACAGAAAATATGCTTCTTTCACCCTTCGAAATCAAAGTAGTCCCTTAAAAGCTTTCAGACGAATAAAATAAATAGCGATTGGGAGACTTTCGTACATCGATCCAAACGATGAACACGTAGTTAATGAATATAAGCGTCGAATTGATGCCTTTTTTTTTTATTTCAGACCTTATCACTTCTTCACATATTTATTCTTTGTCAAAAGCAAAATGCAGAGACAATAAATTTCGATATTGAGGATATTATAAAATCTATGCTTTTTTATATTATTCTGTTTTGACTTTTCTTCCAATTAGCGATAATTGGATAAATGCTTTTCCGATAAATTAAGAAAGTAGTATCCATTGAAAATAATAACTTTGGGGGTTACTTTTAAGCATCACGCACCTGCTGGACAAGGCGACTGAACACTGAGAACTAATGTGATTGAAATAAATGTTAAAAAAATATTTTTAATTTAAATTGTATAATAGGTAACCACCAAATGCATAGTTTTTTTTTTTTTTTAATTTCTTTGTTTATTTTTTAAAAATTAGTTTTTTTTCTTTTGTTATTTTTTTAATTTTTATTAGGAGTGATTTGTACTGTAACTGTAATGTCCATATCGTATGAATGGAAACAAAAAAAAAAAAAAAACGGAAACTATGTTTATTTTTATGGCTAAATACTATTGAGTTCGTGTCTTTGTACAATTTGATTAAAATTAAAATCTAAAGGACAAAAGTTACACCACTACAGTTGTAATGCAAAATAAGAGGAAGAAATTAGTTTAAAATTAAAGTTTGATTTACACTTTTGCTCATAAGGCAGCGGGAATTAATTATTTAAAGATCCTAATGACTTATAACAACTGGTACATGGGCAATCTTTCTTCAACTTGTGTTGAGTTCGCTTGCAAGCCATCGTTGGAACTTTGCAAATATCGTTAAAAATACTACTTAACAAACAGTTGAACATATATTTTATACCAAACGTATCCGGAATTGTTAAGTGAAAAAATAACCTCATCATCAAACCTAATGTTGTTGTCCTTAAAACCCTTCATGCATTTTTCGTAGGCTCTTCGTGAAACGGCCTTCAACTCCTTTAACCCATTTTAAGAAATAAATTTAAGCAAAACGTTGGTAGTTCAAGCGTTTTAGCGTTTATCAGCTTACTTATTACTGTGAAGATATTATTTACGCTCATTATACTCTACCTTACTTCTACATGACATGTTATATTTGTGTATGTAACACCGAAACGATCTGAGCTTATCTATCCGCCTGTCCAGGTATTTTTTGTCGAAGGTACCATTTTTGATGTACTCTGATGAAATTTGACCCAAGGACGAACGCTATTGAAAGTGATTGGGATCAGTCCACTTTTTCGGCCACTCGCCATATAACGTCCTATTTCGAATTTCGGCATTTTCAATTGATGTGAAAAGTGTGGATCGGTCTGGGCAATTTTTTAAACACTCTCTCACATTACCATTACTCCAGTTCTTTATATTGTAAGAAGACCTAATTACCAATATTTTGCGGCGAAAATTGATTCACGATAGTAAATTGATAAAAATATCAACCTTGCCTAACATGGAACAGGTAGTTCTATTTCTCGATTGGCAACACATAAAGTAATTCTCAGGGAATAATATTTTGTTGAAGAGAGGCGTCAAATTCGAACATGGGTATATTTCTTGGACCCTACTTCATGTAAGATTTCCCATGAAAAGTAAGCCCTTTAGAAAAAGCTTTAATTTTGATGGCTTGATCACACGAATAATGCTTTGGAATGAATTCATAATTTTCTAGATGGAGCTGATTCAAATCTCAGTGCTGGAAAGTTTGCTTTGGTCGTAGCTATAATGACTGCTCAGTCGTTAAAGGCACAACATACTACGGTACATATACATTGGGCTTCGACTATTTCTATATCCCATTCTCTTTCCTCGCTTCTTTCTGATCGTTACCGCATTACGCGAATAGGGGACATCCGGTGACTGATTTGTTCCACAAAAAAAATAAATAAAAAAAAAAAATATGGATTGAAGAAGACTACCATCAAAACTCTAACCGGATACCCAAGTAAACGCATGGCCAAGTAGCGACTATTAACGTAAGCGGGTTCATCTCCCGGTCCGCTAGACTATACTTTAATGACGTTTAGCATGCGGTCGCAGCTGTAATGTAGGCTCGGTACACTCACCTCACGGTACGCGTGTTTCTTATGCCCCATGTCTTTCTAGACGTCACAGTGTTACATGTACAGGGTTCTTTAAGCTTCTTTTCGATGTGTCTTAGAAAGAAAAAAAATCGATTTCAAAAGGCGTGGTATGGGCGTTAGTATTTTGGAGGGTTTTTTCGGTCTTTCCAACATCATTTATCACTTATGTTTATTACGAACTCATAATCACAATTTTTTGCTTGTTTCGTACGCTCATGAAAGATGAGGAAAGAAGCAAGCAAAAGTAAATCGTTTACAAAACGCACTGAAGAGAGCTTAGAAGCGCACGAAGTGCACCTTTGAAGAACAGATGAAAATTTTCAAATATTTTCGACAAAATATCCCAGCCACATAGGAGCTAAAGACTTGAATTTCGGTACAACTACTTGTATGTTGTAGTTACGGCCACAATTCTGGAGAGCTTGCGTATTTAAGAAAACGAACTAAAGCTTCGACTACGTATTTGAAAGCCGGTGACCGGTGGAATAAAAGAAGTCAAAGCAGTTGGTAACGAAAAAATTTGACTACATTGATAGTGCACAAGGATGAATCGCATAGTTTACAAAGAATTAAAAGATTGGGGGGCGAAACGAAAACAATACTGACGAAAACAACGTAAACCGTTGAATAAAAATATTTAGTTGGGTTACCTGTACGTACGTCAAGATGATTGTTAGCTGCCGCTGTTATAAATGAGCTGCCATTTTCGGATATATGCTGTGATAAATGTTTAAAAATACAAGACAAACGATCGACGCTATCGATGAAAGGTAGATTAACACGTATGCCGTTAATTACATTTACAGTCTTTACATTTGGTTTAGCATTTGATTTGTTATCTATCCATAATGGATAAGGGCGAGGATTAAGTCTAAATATCCACCGTATGTGAGAGGTGATTGCAGAAATTTGTACTTGTTTTACAATTTGTCGGTGTAGTAGGTGTTAAGGTATCACTTGGAGAAGTTTTCATTTTCCCTTTACTATCAGTTCTCTCAATTTCGTACCTATTTAGCGAACAAATACTACTACTACTGTCCTTCTGTAGTAAATTATTGCTTGCATGATTATTATTATGAGTTAAAATGCTCATTTCTATATCGTACTCCGAAATACCCAATGTGGGCGATGTTACAAAATCCTCATGCCTATTTGGTGAAGTTGGATCAGGTGATAAAGCACCTGTTTCGTCATCCTCTTCCGTCTCGCCATCATCGTCGTCGTCGTCGTCGTCGTCGGTAGCTAGCTTGGGTGAAGATGACCGGCCTGCGTGTACAATGGTACCAGTAGTTGAACTAGGTGGCACTAAGCTTATATTGAAATCTTCCATGCTTCGTTTTACAGCCGCGTCTGAGCCAGTGCCTGAATCTTTACTCGACAAATGATCCTGCTGATGTTCAAAGTCGTGTGGAGAGTTTCTTCTCAAGTACTCTAATGTCAAATGCTCTTCGTCCAAAAGTTCGCCATGCTCATCTGATTCATTTCTTTTCTGTATTAATAATTGTCGATAATTAGGAGTCGTAGTAACAATTAAACAACTCCGCTGACCGGTTAACGTTTGGCTATATTCTTCTGCGTCTTCTTCTTTATAATGTTTTTCATTTAACTCTAAAGCTGCTAAACTTCTAGGTCTTTGGTTAGGTAAAAAGTTACTACGTTGCCTCCTCAAGAATGTTCGATTCAAAGGTGTGAGTTGAGTTTGATCTAATGCAAGATTGCTGGTTGCCGCTACTCTTGCACCTGATCCGCCCATTCCACCACCACTTCTTAGAACACCTGCACCATTGTTAACCCCACCGCCAGTCAGAAACAATTTCTTCTTTTGATAGTATAAAATAATCCAAACGATAAGAGATCCGATCACTATGCAACATATAGTGACTATCGCAACGCCTACAACGATAACCGTTTGGCTTAAATTTTCCTTAACCACAACTAATTCGATATGCATAGCATAGGTTTTTGTATTGTCAGTTATTTCGCAGCGATATTGTCCCGCATCCACAGACTGAGTATTCACAATGATTAATAGCTCTTTTTCGGCTGTAAAATAATAGCGCTCCGACTCAAAAGTTGAGGTTATGTGAAACGGTTTATTATCTTTAAACCATTCACGACGCGAATTAGTTAAAGACAAAGCCATTTCATTCAAACACTCGAGAACGCTGGATTTACCCAACACAATTTCTTTGTGAACCCTGGGAATAGAAGGCAATGGTTTATCGTTAACCAATAACGAAGCGTTGATACTGATTTCGCCCGCTGCACTTTCCGCTGTGCATGTATAAATGCCACTATCATTAGGTTTGGCATTCGTAATAACAAAAGCATTCTCTTCCCGTATAACTTGTAGGCGACGTTCAGTGGCTGCCGGGAAATCACTAGCACCAAATTTTTGTAAAGCTATATCCGGCATTGGATCACCAGCAGCTGAGCAGACCAAACGGGCCGTATCGCCTGAATCCACCGTTAAATTGGAGGGTATTTGCATAAAAGATGGACGGACTAAAAAAACAAAAACAAAAATGAAAATAATTTTCATTTCCAAGTCAAGTCACAATAGGAAACTTACTGCCAATGGATATTTTAAATTTTTGCGAATATGTGGTGCCAAAAGCATTGGACACCACACATTGGTATCTGCCGGCCGATTCATAGCTTACATTGAACAAGCGCAAGTAACCCCTTATACTAGTTTGATTGCTATTATTATAATAGATTTGGGTTTCCGTTGCTATTAGACTATTCTGAGAAAGAGAATTCGAGGTAAATGAGTGTCGTTCTTGTTCTTTAATATTTTGATTGTCATGACGCCATTTAATTTTCAGTTCATCGGCCGCCGCCAGGGAAGCAGCAGTAGGCGACGAAGCTGTACACTCGATAGTTACATTCGAACCTTTCACAGTCAATTGATCGACGGGTTCTTGAATCAAAACTGGTTTAGGAGTTTCACCTTAAAAAAATATGAAAAAAATTAAATTAGCTAAGATCTCTACCTTTTTCAAGCCAACTTACCGCATACTAATTCATTTTGATTAAGTGACATTAGTTCACGATCCAATAAGTGTTCGGGGTAACCGCAAACTGCTTGCGCAGAGACGCTTCGCAATTGGGTTTTAGGAGCCGTTTCGTAATGACGCTGCAGCCATGATTTGAACCATGAAATATTGCAATCACAGATAAAATTCAATGACTTAAAAACTAGCTTTTGCAATTGCGCCATATGATCGAATGCACCTGTTTGGATAGATGCTAGAGCATTGCCACCCAAATTCAAAAATTCCAAATTCCCCAGACCGCTTAGCGATTTTACGTTAATTTGTTTCAAATTATTACCGTACAAGTCGAGTTTCTTTAATTTGCGCAAAGCTTTGAATGGCGAAGGTGCTCCCGGATCCTCTATAATCCATGAAAGCTTGTTACGCCTTAAATTTAATTCTTCCAAATTTTTAACACAATCGAATGTTGTCTCCAAGAAATATTGAATTTTATTATGACCCAAATTTAGGATCTTTAATCTTTGCAGGCAATCCAAATGTTGCGGCTTAAATTCTGTTATATTGTTGTACGACAAATCTAATGAGATTAGAGACTGAGTAAATTCCCATGTATCGGATTCTATGCGCGAAATCGAATTATTCAATAAACTTAAATGATGCAATTTCGTAAGATTGAAAAGACCCTGACGACTAAGCGAACTAATGCCGTTATTATCCAATTCGATAGTTTCTATATTATGCATAACGTGAAAAACTCCATCTTGTAAGGCCCGTATATTATTCGATTTGAGAAAGAGTTTCTGTAAGGAATGTAGACCGCGGAACGTTGACCAATTAATCTCCAAATGATTGTTATTTAGTGATCTAAAAATAATGAAATATTTTATTCGCTTATATAGATAAGAATGCGATATATTTTTGAAATTATTTACAATTTACGCAATTTTGCCAAATTACGAAAAACACCAGCAGGCAGTGCAAGCAAACGATTACCATTCAATTCAAGATCCAATAAATTGGGCAAATTGTCGAGAGCATTATCATCGATCGTCGAGATCTCATTGAAATTCAAAAGTCTGCAGTGAAAGAAATCATAGAGAATAATAGACTTTATTGGAACTATATTACGTATAAGGTGTTTTGCAAAAATTGTGATCAGCGACCTCTACATGTAGAAATGATAAAGGGAAATGGAAAATACCAGCAGTGCGATCTAAATTCTTCTTCTTCCAAACTCATTACTTTTATTGCTTATTTGAAGAAATCTGCTGCCGAAGTCTACCAAATTCGTTCAGAGGCTTATGCGATACTGATCCCTCATATCCGAATTATCGGTTTTGGGTTCAACGATTTAAAAGTGGCGACAGGAGTTGATGGAAAATGCTATTTTTGGCCCTTTATTGCAAGAGTCGCCCAGGAGGCACTGTTGCAGTTCGAAAGAGAAGTTCTGCCAGGGTGCTCATCAGTCACCTCCTGATTACCATTTGTTCAGATCGGCTGGCACGCGAGTGCGCACGGTTGGAGAAATGCGAAAATGTATCGATGGGTGGATCGCTGCCAAACCAATACAAGTTCTTTCAATATGATATCGCCATGTTGCCAAAAATATTATAAAATGGAAACTGTTTTGTTTAATATATATATATATATTGTACAAATTTTTCACAATAAATGCCTTTTTCAAATGAAAAATTGATCAGAATTTTTGCAAACACCTAATGATTCTTTAGTAAGACTTACAAATGCGCTAAAGGCATCTTTTGAGGGAAATAGCTGGACTCGAGGATGTGTAAATAGTTTTTAGATAAATCCAAAGATTTTAGCTTCGGTAAGGCCGCTAAAGCTTCACTTGATATCCGTTGTATACGATTGTGAGCCAGATTTAAATGTTTCAAAACGCTTAGGCCAATGAATATTGGCATCGTGTCTAGTTGATTCCGTTTCAAGATTCTGTAATAAAACGAAAAAGGAATGATCATCCATTTGGCTTCTATGGTGATGTCATAATTTGTTACTAACAATTTACTTAACTCTGGTAGATTCCGGATTTGTAAAACTGTCGTATCGTTCAGTTTATTATTGATTAAATCTCTGTATTTTGGAAAATGATTATAGAGAAGAAATAGGAAAAAAATAAAATGAGTGTCACACAAACTTTTGGGGAGAGACAATAATACGTACATGATTTGTACATAAGTGGGTAATGCAGGCACATGGGACAGCTGCTTTTTACCACAGTCAAAATAGTCATTAAGGCATTTGCATTCTTTCGGGCAATTATTACTATTGTTGCTATTGTTTTGATAGCGATTACTGCTATTGCTTGCGCCATCACCTGAAGAATTATGTTGTTGTTGCTGCAGATTTTTAATCACCGTAAGCTTTGTTGCCGCAGACGCAGAGGCAGAAGCAGAGGCAGCCGCAGCCAATTCCGTTAGATCATTTTCAGCTTTCGCGTATTGAGCGGCTTCGTCTGCGGCAAAGCCAGTTGTTTCTAACATGGATGCCCCATTAATTGGAAAGTCCAGTTCATTGTTATCCTGATATAAAGGCCTGTTTTGTACGCGATTCATTAATGAAACCGTGGATGGCGATATTAAACTATCAGCTGCATTAGTAGCGGTTGGCAGAGGTTTCCTATTTAAACTTAATAAAGCAAACAATTGTTGTTGTTGTTGTTGCAATTTTTCTTCAGATATTGAGGATATCGCTGAAGTATAGGAGGAAGTGGACGGTACTGTTAATGATGGATCGCGGAGCGGTTTATTGTTGAACACTTCATCAGTTGACGTCATAGGAGCTGCTTCGCCGTAGCAAATTGTTGTTGTAGATGTCATTAATATCAGTGACATAGTGGCAGCCAATAATAATTTATTAAGTGCTTTGCAGTGCAACTGCAGGCAACACGAATCGTTTACTCGCGTTTTAGTGTCATGCGAAAGGCAACAAGAATGGCGGTGCCGGGTATCCCTGTCCCAAACAGAATGATTGCAACAGCCGGTAAAGTCGAATTTTATAGATTGCTTCTTACATTTTCGTCGTTTAGAATGTTTAAACGATTGCAATATCAGCAATCTTTGATGTTGTTTCTGTGGATTGCCTCGTTGTCCTTTGAATGACAGTTCCATAGATGTCTTATCATTGTAAAGCTTTAAACGTTTGGCAAACATTTTGCTCTTTTTCCCTTGTTCGTGTTGTCGATTTCGTTAATTTTTTACTTCTTTTTTAAAATTTTTCTTGTTAAAGATTCACTTGAACATTGCGTAATGTTATGAAAGCATAGCTTAAGCGACAGTGATATCGTTAAGTGTTATTTATCGGGATACTTTCATTTGCGACATTTCACTTCTGCGAACAACTTATTGATGTTTAAAATGATGACATCTGGAAAGGCAAACACCAACAAAGAACAATTTGTTTAAATTAATTAATAATTAATTCGATGCTCTCGCCACAGATTTACATATCAAATGCAGCTTAAGATGCATTTAAAGTAGCGGAATAAATAACTATATCTGAAGGCGTAACATTTCACCAATTGCTTACGTTATTATACAAAAAACAGGTAAAGACATTATAGTCCGGCAAGGCTGACTTTTAAATACCTTACACCACACCACATTGTCTAGTATGATTTTTATTTTTATACTAGAACACACAAATTATGTCTTGGCATATTTCTAGGAAAGCGTGCCCTAAAGGCAACATAATTTAGCAGAAGTTTAATCCTTATATAGGGCAGGATCAAAAAATTGGCGTAAATGGTCCAAATTTTGTAGAGTTAATTTTTGTACGAAATTATGGATCAATTTTCGTCACCACATATTAAAATTATACTTTTCTGCTCTACACTGGATCAATATCCGCGAAAATCCTTATTAGTGTAGAATCCAAAAAATAGGTCGAGACGGTCGAAATTTGCTACAGTTAATTTTTTACGTTAAATTACTATTATGATACAGTTTTCATCATGAAGTATTCAAAATTATATCTTGTTGTCGAATGAACTTCAGTTTTCGTTAGAGAAGAGGGGGTTCAAAAATTGCTCCAGCCGATGAAAAGCTTTCATATACGTTTAGAACGCTGAAATATTCTTCTTAGCCACTTTTGCCGAGAAATTTTGAAATGTTTTTCCATGTAGCGATTTTTCAGAATAGGATATTATATGGGGTATGGTCGAAAAAGTAGACTGATCCAAACCATTTTCAATATTGTTTGTCCTTGACACAAAACACGTCACATGTATCAAATTTCATCCAAATATCTCGATAATTGCAATCTATAGTTTGAACACAAATTACATGGACGGACGGTCTTAGATCAACTCAGACTATGATTCGAAATATATCGTTATAATTAAGACGTCCTGCATGTTACTTACGTCCACACTGACTTAATATACCCTATATCACAAGTAGTGTAGAATATAAAAAGGGGAAGAACAGAATGCCGAAACGGTTAAGCACCTATTCCGATATGACTTATACTCTCTGTAAAGCTTGTTCATCCTCTCTCAACTTTGAAATCTTTCTATAATGTCTCTTTCCTTTAAAAACCAATCTTTCCAATCAAAATATAACATAAGGGCAACAACAAAGTTTCCATATTGGTAATAATCGAATATTTTCATCTTAGCTAAAACCAGATTTACAAGAATTGAGAACGACAGAAATTTTTCCGTCACAAAAGAGGGAACTGGAAGTTACACGTGTTTATCAAAGTGGGACAAGTGGTAATACGACCAAGAGATTGGCGATTAAGAGGTATAACAGTGTACTAGGGACTACACGACTTTATCCAGGTGTAATAAGAAGGACTAGGATCAGGGAAGGAAGGCCAGGGAACAAGAGACTTAAGAGTAAACTGTGAACTACACAAATTTAACAAATAAGCGGAAGTCAGATAAGAGGTATAAGGGGATAGAGGCAGACGCGGAGGTCCCTCCTCTCTCGCCTATTATTCCCTTCAGACTTGTTAAAACCATTTTAGTTCTTTTAACCCTTTTTTACCTCACACTCATTTTAACCCCTTAACATTTTACCTTTTTAGCTTTGTAGCCATTTAGCCTCTTTGACGAAATAGGCTGAAGGCTGAAAGATTTACAAATATTAGGCTTATTAAAAAGACTTTTTCCAAAGAAATATTTTAATTTTCTTTTTAGGTATTGCCAGATGCAATTACTTAACAGTAAAGAAGGTGTTTGCTTATAAATAAAAGTAATTCAAGCGCTTGAGTTCAGAGAGTCCAAAATCAGTAAACAGTTAAGACTTAATTGTTTGGAGCTATTACGTGGCTTTGGAATACCGCCATTTAAGTAAATTAAGAAACATTTGGCAAACTTAGCATACTTTGTATGAAAGAAAAATAAAATAATTGAAATATTAAGAGCAAAAAAAAAAAAGAAAGACGAACTGAGTTCTAATTAAGATCAATAAACTTTGTTGTAAAATAATTAAAGAAAAGACCGGCAGCCGCAACAACGAGTAAGCAAAGTAAGCGAAACGAATTTTTGATACCCACCTTCATAAGCAGTTTCTTGAAGTGAATCCAAGAGTAAGTGAATTGCATTTGAATTTTTTTAGTTTTGCTTTTATGGACTTACGTGTTCTAATGCCAAAGTTGTAATAAGACGAACAAACGAAAATTAGTTGAAATTGGCCTGAAGTCGACTTGTAATGCCGCTCTAACCAGTTAAATTTCTTTTTTACAAAATCTCTGATGGGTAGTTTTACTCATTATAAAGGGATTGATATAATTGGTTGATCTTCAGACTTTGGTGTTCGTTATTAAAATGCTCTCTCCGTACGTTATTTACTCTGCACTTATTTATGTATTAATGAAATGAAACGAATGAAATTTTTTTTTGCTAGATATTGTAGTGTAGAGTATATATATGTATATATGTAAAGGCAATTGTCTGCTTACAATATCATAAGCTCAACGAGAAAAAACAAGCACATGTTAACTTGTATACCGGTGCCTGTAAAAGAATACAGTTATCCAATAGATGCCGATCAATCCGGACGTAAATGGATGCATAGCTGTTTCTATAAATGGTGTCTTATAGAAAAACCGCGCATAATAATTTTAAAAAGCCAATTGCCTCTATATGTGTATGTGTATGCACACATATGTGCTTCACAAATATTATGCTATGTTATTTTTGTCCTTTACGTGAAACCAAATTTAGACGAGTCAACGTCTAGCAAGTTATTCGCAACTTGCTATTTTAATTATATTATAACCGAAAGAGAAGTTGCTGCAGAACGGATTTTGCTGTGAGAGCATCGTCGTTTAAGCATTTGTTTCTGCGGCAGCTATATCTAAGCAAATAAACCTGGTTATAGGCTTAACACGCACAGATACACGCATAAATGCATATACACAATCACAAAGACGCACACACACACACACACACACACAACACGTGAATTAACTAAGAAATATTTGCCATTTTAATCCGTTCGCTGTCGGCTTACAAAACACATTTAATGGCACGTAGACGGCACGCTAATGAAGTTGCTTTCAATTTACTGTATTTCGATTAATTCTATTGCTAACAACGACCTTCATATTAAATGTCCATATAGAGTAGCGTAGGATCTCGACTTGACGACTCTCGCTGGAACAAGAAACTTTATTGGCTAGAATCGCATGCTTATAAATGACGTTGAATGGACGGAGAATAACTCTTAGCGAGAAATCATCTGAAGCCAAAAACTCAATTTTCAAATTCTCAAAGTAACATAATTTTTATTTCGGGAAACGTTGGATATGAACTGAAAATTGAAAGTAGAATGGAACGCTACTATATAATATAATATAACACAGTAAGGGTGCGAAGTTATATTTAAATTGAATTAACAAAGACATAAACCAAAAATTTGTACTGAGCGCAGTTAGAGTTCTCTTAACCGAAGTCTCAGAGGGATTTACATCAAAATTTAGTTACAATAGAACTTTTCGCAAATTCACACCCTTTAGGAAGGAAACACTTTAAGGTGCAAAATAAACACTTGAATGGAAACTTCTACCCTATACCCCAGCCCCTCAAGTTGGCCCCTCCATATACGATATAACTACGTCAACCCTTTCATGGAGACAACAGAAAATGGTCCAAGATATCAAAGCCTAAATTATATTACGCTTAGAAGTATATGAAAAATACCGAAGAAATATCGACTTTTTGAATATCTCTGACAAGGAATAGTAAACATTCCGATTTTTATTACATGTTTTATAATAAATATCACCTCGTAGTTTAATAAGCAAGACATTTTCAATATATTTTGAAAAGAAAATTGTAATGCTGGGCTTGTTTCGTATTGAAAAGAGACATAACGGGACGGACTTTCGGATGAGGATAGGGAGAAAATTAAAGGCATGAGACTTGCAGGCAAGAAATTTGGTGAAATAGCAGCTTCGACAATTTTAAAAGGCCGGATAAACTACGGTTGGATGAAACGCAATGCACATACCCAAAGCGCAGATCAAGGGACTCTAGCCCAATTGACGATTTGTGGGGAATGCTTTCTGCCAAGATATTTCCAAAGTTTAAGCAGTATTTTATGCTTAAGGAACTTAAATTTGAAAGATTGTCGGAATGGGAGAAGATGGGCTTGACAACTCTGAAAAACTTGATGGGCGCTATGACAAGCAGACTACAAAAAGTCCTTAAGCTTCATTTTTACGCATCTAACTATTTTCTAAGATGCATATATGGAACGAGGATAGCCTGTATTTTAGGCCCACTTGAATTGTTGTATGCTTAGGGTCAGTACAATCCAATACAATTGCAAACGATTGCAACACAAACTTGTGCACCGTTCATGTTCGTAACGCTTGTTGAAGATAATTATTAACTTGCGTATGGTAACACCTGCCTTTAAAAAATCATATGATTTCAAGGATTTTCGAGTTAACCTAACTTTTATGGAGAATATATTAAGTCATCATAACGTTTTATGACAAAAATGTGGATTTAATGATTTCCACAATTGGAAAAATTGCAAAAAACTTCTCGACTAACATGAAAGAGGAAAATCTGCCGAAATTCTTATATATGTGTAAAAAAAAACATTTTATTTTAAAACATCATCTTTTTGATCTTTTTTTTTTATCGCCAATAACAGCTGATTTCCTTAGTATACATTTGAAATTGGAACGATTGAACGATTAAACTCGGTTGAATCTTTAACCTCCTTAGAATTTATGCCTCAACTGTACAACTGACCATTCATGGACTAAGTATTTTTTCTTCATCATCTCATTATAAATTCCTGTAGAGTAGTGCAGAGAAGGCAAAGTGAATGCTTCTTCTTTTTTTATAATTCATCTAATTATACCTCTCATATTCTATGATCGATTCGCATGATCGATACAAA